TACTGGAGGGGGGTGCTGGAGGGGGGTTGCATGCAGGGTGGAGTGACCAGGAATCTGCGCAGAAGGGGGCGAGGGACTGGTCACGCCCACGGCATGCCGCTGCCGCGCCGGGGTGATACCCGCGCCGCCCCTCAGAAAATTCCCCTGTCCCGGCATCCGCGTCACAGCCGCGCAGCTCTCGTGCCACACCCCTCCCTCTCCCCTTCCCCCCTTGCCCCACACTCAGATTCGACTACCGCCTGGCCATGGGGGAGCCCGACTTCTGGGTGCGCACCGTGAAGCAGGTTGCTGACGAGGACTGGAGCATGACGGGCATGGCCAGCGCGCTGTGTGACCGGCGGTACAGCGAGGCCACGGTGGGGTACGTGGAGAGCCACGACCAGGCCCTGGTGGGGGACCAGACCCTAGGTGGGTGCGAGGAGGGTCCGAGGGGTGGCAGGCGGGGGCAGCAGCATACGGTTGGCGTGTTTGGAGGGGCCAGAGCGCAGGCTGCTGAGAGCATTCTGGGCAGCATGCCATGGTTGGGTGCATCAGGCTGATCCAGGCTGCCACATGGCCAGGCATGTCATTGCCTTCGGCCAGTAACCAAGCGCCATGCACATGAGCAACGACTCTTACGCAGTCCCTTACACGCACACCCATCCACCCAACCTTCTTTCGCCCCCTGGCCAGCCTTCCAGCTGATGGGGACGGAGATGTACACCAGCATGTCGGCGCGGCAGCACCCCTTGCCGCCCAGGATTGAGCGGGGAATTGCACTGCACAAGCTCATCCGCCTGATCACCATGTGCCTGGGTGGCGAGTCCTACCTCAACTTCATGGGCAACGAGTTTGGCCACCCCGACTGGATCGACTTCCCCAGGCGTGTTCACCCCTATCTTGGGGTAGTGGGGACCGCTTCAGCTCTGCCTGGGCCTGCGGGATTGGGAGCTGCCGCCGCAGGGACATCAAGAGACCGCCTTGACATTCCCTACCCCGTAGACTCCTATTATCCTCCCTCATCCCCTGCCGCAGGGAGGGTAATGGCTGGAGCTACGAGCACTGCCGCCGCCTGTGGAGCCTGTTGCAGTCCGATGACCTGCTGTACCCCGCACTGGGGCGGTGGGATGCTGCATGCATGGCCCTGGACCAGAAGGGAGGCTTCATTGCCTCTAGGCACCAGTGGGTCACCCTGGCAGACGATGCACGCCAGGTGTGGCTTGAGGGGGGGAAGCAATTCTGAATGGGCAAGGGTTATGAGGAAGGGAGAGTAAAGTTAAGATACGCCGTGCCCTGGTTCAAAGGCCAAGGGTAGCTGCGCGCCGGTGTATGCATGCATCCTCATGTGCACGAAGCCCGTCTGGCAGGCATACTTGGTCTGCGTCTGAAGGCTCTTCCCTCTCGTGGCACTACCCGACATACAGGTGTTGGTGGCGGAGAGGGGTCCCTACCTCTTTGTGTTCAACTGGTCGCCCAGCACCAGCTACCAGGGGCTGGAGGTGAGGAGGTGGACACTCTTGGCACACGGGTCTAGTGTATGGAAAAGGGCAGAGCGGGAACCCATTGTGCTCCCGGGAGCCGAGAGTTCGGCCAGGCCCACCATTCGCGATGGGCGCTGCACCCTATCAGTCCCTCGCCCAACTTCTCTGCCCCTCCTTCCCCCACCCAGGTACCAGCGCCCCGCCCCGGCAAGTACCGCCCCGTGCTCGACTCCGATGCGCGGGAGTTTGGGGGCCAGGGGAGGGTGGACGGCGCCACAGAGCACTTTTCTCAGGTGAGGGTCACGTATCTGTGAGGCAGGGGAGCTCGGCGAGCTGACGCTCCCCTCTGCGGGTGGGAAGGTCCCTGGCTCAGTGCTTGAGGCCGGCGGGCTCGCGCACTTTGCTCGGAGCTGGATCGTTGCAGCCACCCTCAAACCCCATTCCCAAATCCCCGGGCGCAGCCACGGGCCCCACAAGTCCATGGCCGCGACCAGGCACTGATGGTGATGGTGCCGGCCCGCTGTGTGGCGGTGTACGAGTGCGTGGACGGCTGATTGCCTGGGCCAGGGAGTGCGTGGGCGGCTGAAGCTGACGATGACGGAAGAGGGCATGCGGCGTCGGCACATGCTGCCGGCCCCCCCCCCCCCCCCCACCTCAACAGTGCATGTGTTGCCGGGCGGCTGCCTCCCTGCCATGCCACGCGCGACTGTATGTGATCCTGGTCGTGAATCTCTCCAGCTGCGGGTATGCCATCGGTTGACACCCGGGCCTGACCCTGAGAGACACTCGGGGCACGGGGCTGCGCTGCATGCAACATGGCGCAAGAGCATGGCATGCAGTGGCGCTCTGGGGTCGCCTGACCGATGGTCTGTGCGATCTCGCATGCGACCCCAGCACCCTCGGCACCTTTGTGCGCAGCGCTGCATGCCAGGCTCCGCTGTGGCAATCACAGGCCTGCACTGCCTGTCCTTCTCGAGGTGCCGCCCTCTGGCCTCGATCCTGGCTTGACCGCCCAGACTCGGTCGTGGGAGGGCCGCCTGGATCGAGGCGCAGCCCGGTCCGCCGGCCGCCATCACCACCCGTGCCGCTCGCGCCTATCGCGGCATGGGCCCCCGCCCCGCCGGGGCCGGCGCCGCCGCCCTCCTCGCCACGGGCGAGCCGTAGAGCAGAGTGCAGCGCCCCTCCAGCGCGCCCATCATGCGCTGCACCACCTCGGCGAAGAAGACGTTGGCCAGGTGGCGGTAGAGGGCGGACTTGAACGCAAAGTCGACGGAGAAGTCGAGGCGGGAGCTGCCGGGGTGCGGGCCCGGCGCGAAGCGCCACTCATTGTTCAGGTAGCGGAAGAGGGTGCTGTCCCCCACGCTGGAGCTGATGGCCTGGCCGGGGTGCAGCGTGACTCTAGAGATGTAGCTGGAGAGAGAAAAGAGAAGGGAAATGCGTCAGGGAGGGGCAGGAAGGCGCGGGGGGGAGCAGCATGGAGTGGGTTGTGGGGGAAGCCCTTGTGGCTAGGATAAGCTTGCCGACCGCCACCCATCCAAGCACTGCTGCTCGCCTCGCACCATGCGGAGTTTCTTCAGGCCCCTCATACTGCAAGAAGACCCGAACCCCCGCGCCACGCCCCCGCGCGACCTGCAGCACCCTCCGCCACCGGCAAGCAAGCTAGCGAGCAGCGCACCGTTCTGTGAACATCTGGAAGCCGACCTCCAGCTCGGCCTCCAGGTAGTTGGGCGGTCTGCGGGCGGTGATCACTGAGCGCACGCACCAGGGCACAAACTCGTGGTAGTGCTCCACCGCGGCGACGACGTCGTAGATCTCCTCCGGCGTGTACCTGGGCGGTGCGGGGGCAGGGGGCAGCACTTGGGTACGGGAATGCAGGGCGCGGGATAGGAGGGTGGGGCGGGGTTGGAGGTGGGAAGGGCGGTGCACACCGCAAGGCACCGCCCAGGGGCGCAGGTTCACACCCCCAACCAGCATCCAGACCTGTACCGTGGCATACACTCACGGTAGGACCTTCTGCTCGTGGAACTTCTTGGACTCGCCAGTCTCGAAAGGGCTGGGGAGCCCGATGAAGGCCCGGGACACAGGGAGTTGGGTGGCTGGGGCCGCAGCTGGCAGAAACCCGGCAGCCTGCAACGCCGGCACCCCCTCGGGCACGCCTGGCCCGAGCAGCCTGCAGGCCTGCACCAGCGCCCGGCAAGACGCAGCCTGTCGCAGCATGGGCCCCTGCGGAAGGACGCGGCTCGGGAGAGGGACCCACACCGATGCGGGGATACAAGCGCTGGTCCCCGAGAGGTCAGGTTGCCGCGCAGGGCGCACCCGTGGATCGACGATGGAGCAATTACACAAACGTCGAAAATGGTCGCTGGTGCCAAATTACTATGTTGGCTGCCGAAATCTGACCCTCGGGAAGGATCCTCGTCATCCTCCCCATAGGCCTCCCCTCCACCCCGAAGGTGTCCATTGGGGAGGAGGGATTACAGCGTCGTTGGCTCAGGGCATGCCATTGGCACCCACTTCCCCTTTGACATCTCTTTCGTGTCCTCCTACCGAGGAAACTTGTTCTAAATCTCGAAGCGGAAGTTAAGTACCTGAGATTTGATGATCTTTCTGCTGTGAGGGAGCCATTCTTGCAGTTTTGGGTGTGGCCAATCAGTTTATACTGGCATGAAGACCCATGAGTGGATGAACGCACAGTCAGGAGCCACCCATTGGGATGTCAGACGCTAGCCTTCTGCTCAGCCAGTAGACGTTGGCGCTCCTGATCAGAGAGCACATGGGGAAGGAATCAGGGGGCTTGGAATCGGTGGGAGGCCACAAAAATTACACCTCTGCCTGGCGCAGTGCCTTCCTCCCCCATTCCCTCCCTCTCTTGCAACACCTACCACGACTGCTCGCCGCTTGAGGTCAGCCTCGTACATCTGTGCTGCACGCCTGTGGCATCATGAGGAAGTGAAGTGATATGCACGGATTAGCATACTTTTTACGTTCAGGATATGCTCCTGATAAAAGGACGGAGTTTTGACTCTTCCATAGTGATCTCTCGCCCCTACGCACGCACTTGTCATCGAAATAGTAACTAAGAGCGTCCAGGGACTTTAGGCCATATCCGAAGGCAAACGCCCCTGCTCCAAAGGCGAAAAACTTGCCGATGGCAGCCTGCGGAAGAGAATACACTGTTTCTTCTAGCCCTGGCGAGGGTTACTCGTGAAGTTGATGCCCAACCACTCTTGCTTACCATGACTGTGAAACAGGGTACCCGCCGGGGCCCTGTTCTGCTGACACAATCCTTGGCTGCACTCCCGCTGGGCTCGCTTCACGTTTCGAGATGAGCACCTTTATCTGTTTCCACAGCAGGGTTTTGATGCCATCCTGCCCGCACTACTCCGGGGAAGCCTACGACGCGGAGGTACCGCGCCGAGGGGGTCCCGTACCATCCTGCTCGGCAAGAGCGAGTCAGGGCAATCTGAGGCCATCCCGCCCCATAAGGCAATGCTCTCATCCGTGTACCAAAATTAATGTCCCTGTGACTCTGCTGCCATCCCATCGGTTGAGGTCAACCTGGTGCCCCATGTCGGGACGCATGTCCCGAGGCCACGGCCATGGTGTTGCGCTGGCGCGGCTGGAGCGCCAAAGAGCACATGATGATCGGGTGGCGGACCTCAAGGGTGAGGTGGCACTCCACAGCCGGCTCAAGGGCAGGGCGCACTGGGAGATGGCCGAGGTGCGACCGCCACCACCCTCCACCCAACCCTGGCCCAACTCCGACGACATGCCCCGCGCTCTGCGCCACGATCCTGATGCTTGGGAGTCGGCACCACGCAAGCTCTTCGGCTCGGATGGCCTGGCGGCACGCCAGTCGAGGGCCCTGGCTCAGGAGCAGACTTCCTCAACTCGCCATGGAGGGGCCATCTTGAGTACTGCCCGCAGTCAGGTGCTCGACAGGAAATCACACTCACCTTTGCCAATAGAGCGATGCGGTTTATCCGTGCTGGATGTGGATGCAACCTCAGACCTTGTGGAGGAAGACGTCTCACATCCTTCAGGATGCGCTGGAGCTGCCAATATGGCCCAACCTGCCCAGGACGACCCCCGGTGCCCCATATCTGAATGCTCGATGGACGAGAAGCAGCCTTTCCCTCACAACTTGAGCCCCTCCAAACTCCTAGCAGCATGGTATTCGGATGCAGTGGCTGCTCAGCATGCGCCAGAGCAGCCTGGACCCAACACAATCCTCTCACCTCCCAGGTGAGGGCACCTCTTTTCACATTCTTGTTCCTTTGCTTTACACGGGCCGTGTGTGAGTCGGCTAACCAGGCCTCAGCCCACACCTCCAGCAGAGCTGGAGGCCTCATAGTCGACGCCGGCTCGAAAAAGGCTGCCAGCCTTGCGAGCGTCCTGCGTGAGCGTGCAGACCAGGTGGAGGCCCGGCTGGCGGGCCGGCTGGCCGAGCGGCAGGCCCTGGCCGCCGCCCAGCAGGAGGCGCGGGAGCAAGCCAAGCGGCTCGCAGCAGAGGAAGCTGCGTGCAAGGTGGCGGCGGTAGAGGCCAAGCAGGCCCTCGCCCGTGAGCTTCAGGTTTGAGGGTCGCGTGTCGGCTGGGTTTCACCTCTGCCCTGACCGCCGTGGGAGCACCCTGTGCTGCCTTTGGCTAGGAATGGCATGTTGGGTTCTCGGTTCACCACATGCAACCCGACAACCCCCGGGGGTGCACCGTCCCCTCCCAGCTATGTGGCAGATGCGATCTCCATGTTGATGCTCCACCAAGGCCTTGGTCTGCTGCCACGTACTCGGCTGCCACCCTTTCCTGCGCCTGCTCCCGCACAGGACCAGGTGAAGGAAGGGGAGCTGCGGCGCTGGGCCGCTCGACTGGATTCTCCCGCCTAAGCATACGAATCCTCTCCCCGTGGCGGATGCTCTCAGACGCCGCCGCCCCGCATGTGGGGCCCATTGCTGCCTCTGGAGCGCCCAGAACATGCTCGGCACACCCACCCTGCCATCATGGAAGGCTGTGCACTCGCTGGCCCGAGGCCATGCCCGTCAATTTCGGCAGCTGCTCCCAGCTGCCTTTCAGTCCGGTCCAGAGCCTGGCATCCAAGAAGAAAATCCTGCAGAAGGCCTACTGCCATGGCGCTAAACTCCTGCTCCCTGCTCAGACTGCGACTTCCATACATACCTGACATTTGACTGAGGAGACAAAGAAGTGCACATAACTCTCCACCCCCCTGCACGATCTGATGACTGTTACACACGACTAGGTCCTTGGAAGGAGTGCAAATCATGCGGTGGTGGCGGGCTGCACGCGCTTGGCCTCGCCTGGGGGAGAGGAGGGAGTGGAAGTGGTGAGGCAGTGCAGGGCGAGGGAGGGAGACGTTAGACGGGAAAAGAAAGACATCGAGCCGCCCCAAAGCAGAACACTGCAGGCCAACACCTCCACAGATGTATGGACAGGAGACCTTGGCTCACCCTCCTGGAAGCCGTTGCGGAAGCGGCGGTGCACTTCCTTGAGGTGCTTCATCCGGCCAGTGCCGGTGGTCTTCCGACGGATGGCCTTCTGGCCCCACTGGTCTGCGCAGGTTGGGGGAAAGGAGAAGGGGAAGGCGGGCCTGAGCTTGAGGTACTGTACTGTAATCAGGGCCTGTGCCAAGGTCATGCTCCTGGACCACGCGCGTAATGGATCCAGCGCTACGCGGGGACCGGCAGCGAGTCGACATGTCCAAATTTAATCAAAGATCCGGTCCACCAGCCAGGTATCCAGCTTACAGGTCCTCTTCCGGGCGGATGGGTATCCGCAGGCAGCGCAGGTGCTCTTCTGGTTGTGGAACGACCGCCGGCCGCAACGACGGCACAGCGAGTGCGTCTTTGTGTGGCGCTTACCTACAATGAGAGCATGGGTACGATGATTCGGACTTGATTCCCCAAGTTCGAGCCTTTCCGCCCCTCCGCCACCAGGATGGGCTGCCCCGCTCACCGAAGCTGCCGGTACCCTTGCCGCACTTCCCCATGGCTGCTCAACTTCCGAAGAAGACCGTCACGGGCCTCGTGCGATCGGAAAAGGGATGTGCGGGGTTGGCCGCCAAGGTAAAGGTGCGAGGCAACTATGTACCGCATGTACTGCAGAGGTGGTGCACCGCAGCGCGCTCGGCCAGTAGCGGAGGGGTACCGCCACGGAGGTAACGCCGGGTATGAATGCTCTCCGCGACAGACAGAGTGAGGGCCGATTGCGGCGGAGCTCTCTCTGCCACTCCTGCTCAACCTGGTGATGAATAATTTCGCATGACCTACCAAAAAGGGGCGAACCGGACGAGGCGCTATGCTTGACACCACACGTCCGCTTGTAGATCCCGGACACTTGCACGCGTGGAGCATCCTCATCGTGCACTAGCAGGCAAGGAGAGGTGATGCGATACATGCTGAATACTTGCAGGTGAAATTTTGGGGTCCCGTGGCCGCAGGGGTCTCCCTTTCAGTGTCCTTTCAGGCCCCAAATCCTTTAGTGCTCGCCCTGGATCATGCTGCCCGCCTTAGGCGCCACAACACCACTCTCAGGAGGAGCAGCACGATCATGCAGCGCTCCGAGGCGACAATTCAACATCCGGCACCCTTTCGTTGTGGTCTGGGCCAGGGCTCAGGCCCATCGCGCTACCCAGCAGAGGCCGGCGTTCAGGCGGCCAGGAGCAAAGTGGACGCCTGTGTCCAAAATGTGTACGAGACCATCCCCGCCATTCATGCCCACTCCAGCCCCCTTCGTCAAGCGCGGCCCCTGGACGACTACAGGGACAAGCAGGTGAGTGTGGGATAGGTGTGCGGGACACCGAGTGGGCGTGGAGCGCCTGCTGGACCCCAGGCTGGCTGTTACGATGTCGCAGGAGCACCACCGCCAGTCAGACGCGTGCACCACGCCATGCGCATGCATGCCTGTGCCACAACCAGTGCCACTGTGAGCCAGGAGCCTCTCTGCTCCCATCTCCTGAACCCGCACACTTTGCGGCGGAGCTCTCTCTGCCACTCCTGCTCAACCTGGTGATGAATAATTTCGCATGACCTACCAAAAAGGGGCGAACCGGACGAGGCGCTATGCTTGACACCACACGTCCGCTTGTAGATCCCGGACACTTGCACGCGTGGAGCATCCTCATCGTGCACTAGCAGGCAAGGAGAGGTGATGCGATACATGCTGAATACTTGCAGGTGAAATTTTGGGGTCCCGTGGCCGCAGGGGTCTCCCTTTCAGTGTCCTTTCAGGCCCCAAATCCTTTAGTGCTCGCCCTGGATCATGCTGCCCGCCTCAGGCGCCACAACACCACTCTCAGGAGGAGCAGCACGATCATGCAGCGCTCCGAGGCGACAATTCAACATCCGGCACCCTTTCGTTGTGGTCTGAGCCAGGGCTCAGGCCCATCGCGCTACCCAGCAGAGGCCGGCGTTCAGGCGGCCAGGAGCAAAGTGGACGCCTGTGTCCAAAATGTGTACGAGACCATCCCCGCCATTCATGCCCACTCCAGCCCCCTTCGTCAAGCGCGGCCCCTGGACGACTACAGGGAGAAGCAGGTGAGTGTGGGATAGGTGTGCGGGACACCGAGTGGGCGTGGAGCGCCTGCTGGACCCCAGGCTGGCTGTTACGATGTCGCAGGAGCACCACCGCCAGTCAGACGCGTGCACCACGCCATGCGCATGCATGCCTGTGCCACAACCAGTGCCACTGTGAGCCAGGAGCCTCTCTGCTCCCATCTCCTGAACCCGCACACTGCGCAGCATGCTTCCCCCATCTTCCTGCGGGGCCGCCCAGCTCGCCTGGACAACAGCATCGAGGTGGACGCCAGGTGAGTGGGGGTTGAGCCTGAGGCCCGTGCGCCGTCACACACGGCCTCCACACCCGAGCTCACTGCTTGGGAAACTGCGCACAGATCTCCTTCCCACCCACCCACTCCCTGGCCGGCGCAGGCTCGCCTATTTGGAAAAGCGGCGGCGGGGGGTGGGGATGTCCCTGCTCCGGCGCCTCTTCCTGGGCTGCTTCTCCTCTGCGCCGCGCTCTCCCGGGCCCGGCCCCTCGGCCCGGCCCAGCTCCCACCTGCGCTCCGTGCCGTGCGCCATGGACCCCCTGCGCCAGAGCGCCGCGTCCCTGAGGAGCAGCCAGCTCGTCCCTGTCCCCCTGGAGCAGGGCCCGCCCATCAGACCCCGGAATCGGGCCCAGGCGCGGTTCAGGGCGGCGGGGCAGGGCGGCCCGGCCCGGGCCCGGCCGCCCAATCCTGGCCTGGAGCCCGATGGCCGCCGGGGACGGGCCTTTGGCAGTCCCGGGGATGCAGGGCATGCCTCCGTCCCCAACTACGCGTCGCCGGTGGCCGGCGCCGGGGCGTCCCCAGTGGCCGGCGCCGGGGCGTCCCCGGCGCGAGGGCCGAGCGCTTCGGGGCGCGCCAGGCGGTGTCTGGCGCCAGCCCTGCCCCGTGTGGCCGGGCTGGCGGCCGCCAGCAACGCGTCCCCGGCCCGAGGGTCCCCACTGAAGGGTGAGCTTGCGGGAGGGCAGGGGAGGCGGTGGGATGGGGGCCAGGAAGGGCAGGAGTGTGGGGGGCAGGGCGGGTGGTGAGTTGCCGCCGGGGGGCTGTCGCGCGGCCTTTGCTTTGCAGGGTGGGAGCCGCGGGGTGTGCGCTTCCCCACGACAGCGTCCATCCCCGCCTGACGATTCCGACGCCACCCCCACCATCTCCACTTCAGGCGTCCGGCCCGTGGGAGGTGCGCTTCACCCGCCCGGCCAGCAGCTACTGGCTCAGCAAGCGCCCGCACAGCACACCCACGGGGCAGGCGCCCGGCCCACTTCCCCCGGACCTCAATGCGCCGGCCTCCTGGACCCCGACAGCCCCCCCGCGCGCCCGGCGTCCAGGGGCGCCATGGCACCGGACGCCGGCCCCCCGCCGCGGCAGCCGCCCTCTGCCAAGAAGCGGCAGGTGGTGATGCTGCCGCGCCCCGTGGCCCCCCGGACGAGGAGCACCACAGAGGCCGGACCGGCCCCTCTGGCGGCCGAGCCGCCGAGGCCGCCGCCGCCGCGCAGCCCGCGCCTGAACCGCGCGGCGGACATGCGGCTGGCGGTCGCGGAGGCGCGGCGCGAGGCGCAGCGCGCACAGCGCAACACCCTGCTCCAGCGCGTGGACCCCGCCCGCCTCGGCAGGATGCTGGCGGCCCAGGCACCGGGCCAGCCGGGGTCCAAGCGGGCGCGCCAGGCGTGCGCGGCGGCCGACGCCGCCGACCGCGAGCGGTGCGCCACGCGGGAGCGGTGCTCGGGCTGGGAGCGATGCTTGGGTCGGGAGCGCGCCGCGGGCCGGGAGCGCGCCACCGCGCCGCCGCGCGAGGGCGCCGACCCCCAGCGTGCCAAGCGGGCGCGCCCCGCCAAGCAGTCGTATGTGGAGGAGCTCAGGGGCCTCGTGGCCCGGCTGGCCTTGGACGGGCAGCAGGGCGAGGTCGGGGACCGGGTCCGGGCGGAGGGCAGACGGGCCCGGGCGGAGGGCGGCCGCAGCCGCGCGGCGCTCGACGCGTGGCCGGGCGTCGACGCCGAGGTGGAGCACACGATGCGCGGCGCCGGCGCTGCGCGCTCGGGCACCGCACTCCACGTCGTGGTGCCCCCCACCCCGGTCCTACCCGGTCACGACACGTACCTGGAGGTGAGAGGGTGGAAAGCGGGGCCTGGCGGCCGGGGTCGATGCCTGCCCAGGTGTGGCAGGCGGGCGCTGGCAAGCGGTCAGAGGTCACTGGGTGCGAGGCCGGGCCACGCGGAACGCGGCGTCCCTCTGCGCTCCTCACCCACCCCCTCGCGCCGATCCGATCCCCTGTACTTTGTAGACGCTGCAGCGTCTGGCTCAGGGCCTCAGCGTCGACCCAGCGCTGCTGGCGGCCTGCAAGGCGCCCTCCGACGCGCCCTGGGCACGCCACCTGGCGGGCGCGGGGGCGGCGTCGCCCTCGGACCATCCCCTGCCCGGGTCCAGCCAGGGCAGCGGGGAGCCCGCCTGCTCGCCCGAGGGCCCTGGTGTAGGGGTGGTGGACCTGCTGACGGGGGACCCCTGGACGGGGCAGAGCGTCGCCCTCCGATGACACATGTGCTGGTTGCGTGCGGCGACGCTGGGAGCTCGCAAGGGGTGCTCCCAGCCCTTCCCCCCCGCCTCTACCCTTGTTGACCTCCAGAGGATGCATTGCTGTAAGATTCTCGGTCGCGTCCCGAGGCCTGGTGCTCCCCAGCTGCGAGGATCTGGGCCTGGGGCAGCCGAGTCCCCACTCATAAACGCACCCCTGCTGCTGTGCGTGCGGCGTCGGATGCAAAATGATCCATTCGGCACTGCAGCAGCAGGCAGGCCCCCCGCGACCATGCAGCGCACATCCAGCCCCGGTGCATTCAGGCCAGCCCAGAGCTTCCGATGTTGACCGCGTCGCGCCGGTGGAAACGGAGGGAGGGGGAGCCCCAGGCCGGGGCGCCGGGTCTGGCGGTGTGGCTCGACCAGGCACGGGCGCGATGGCAGGGCGTGCTTCGCAGCGGGGCCATCCTGCAGCGCACATGCCATCATAAACTCGATCTGGCCCTGGATGGGGTGCGGGACGCCCTGGCATCGCCCCCCTCGCGTCGCAGGCCGGGGCGTCTGGCATTTGCCTCTGCCTCCAAGTCTGCGGTGGGGGGCCCCCCCGGTGAGCCCCTGTCTTCGGACCCCATCCTGATCAGCGAGGTGAGGGAGACGAAATTTACTCGTGCTGCCCCTCAGCGTGCATGGCAGACGCTGCTGCATGAGTTGGGTAGGCGGCACCAAGCGTGGCAAAGCCCTGCGTCGTCCAGTGACCGGCCTATTTGCCCTGACCCCGGCCCTCCGACCCCAACCAATCCCAGCTGGAGGTGACCGGCGCGGACGAGGAGCTGCGCAAGCTGGCGCGCGAGGCGCTGACTATGCGCCCCAACTTTGCCTATACGCTGGAGGAGGTCCAGGCCGACCTGCGACGCATCTTTGGGACGGGCTACTTTGCGGCCTGCGAGCCCAGCGCGGAGGACACCCGAGACGGAGTCAAGCTCACCATCAAGGTCTGGGCAGGGGGATGAGGGGACTGGTGACGGGCAGGGTGACCTGGTGCAAGCTGGTTGCTGGAGACTGGCAAGGTGTAGCCAGCCCCCACCCTTGCCAGTTCAGACCCTCCCCCCCTCCCCATCCAAACATTTGAACAGGTGACGCCCAACCCTGAGCTCAACGGCGTGGTGGTCGTGGGCGCCGACCGCCTGCCCCAGTCGGTGATCCAGTCGGCGCTCACCCGCCTGCACGGCCGCACCCTGAACTTCGAGGCGCTGACGGAAGCCACCGAGCAGCTCAACGCCTGGTACGAGGCCTCTGGCATCCTGGGCCAGGTCACCAAGGTGGAGCTGGGGGAGTCCAACACCGTGCAGATTGCGGTGTCGGAGGCGCAGGTGGCGGGGCTTCACCTCCGTTTCCTGGACAAGAAGACCGGGGAGGTGTGTGGGGAAGAGGGAGGAGCCGGTGGCAGGGGCGCTGCCAGTCAGGCGTGCCTTGGGCCGGAGCCGCGCTGGTTCCTGCCTCCCTGGCGCTTGCATGGACACCTTTGTCACCTCTTCCCGTCGGCTCCCTCGCACGCACACACCTGCGCGAGCGGCCGCTCACACAGCGCCTGGATGCCCGCGCTGCGCACAGCACACACGAACGCATGCCCACACGCTTCCTGCACCCATGTGGCCCCACTGATCCCCACACCGCAGGCCCGGGACGAGGGCCGGACGCGGCCCGAGGTGATTCTGCGCCACATGCTGACTCAGCCGGGGCAGGTCTACTCCCTGGCCCAGGCGCGGCGGGACGTGGAGGCGGTGTACGCCACGGGCCTGTTCGACGACGTGTCCATCCGGCCGCAGCCGGCGGAGGGGTCCACCATGGACGCGCCGCGCGTCGACCTCTTCCTGGAGGTCAGGGAGCGCAAGTTTGGGGGCCTGAGCGCCGGGACGGGTGTCTCGGCGGCGGGGACGGGGGAGGGCGCGCTGCCGGGCTTCATAGGGCAGCTGTCCTACTCCCAGCGCAACCTGATGGGCTTGGGTCAGCGCCTCACCGCCTCGGCCGAGCTGGGCCAGGTGCGGGACTGATGTCTGATGGGGTATCTCTGGAATCGAAGGGGGTGTGCGCTGCACCTCACACCACCCTGCAAGCGCTTGTTTTCAAGAGGGTGTGTGAAATAGGGGGGTGTCGTGACTGGGGAGGGGAAGCCCAGTCATCGGGCGTGCAGGCACATCGCTGGGAGTGAGGGGTTGGCATGGAGACACTGCTCCTTGCGCCATCGCCGGGGCTGGTCCCTCGGTCCCTCTGTACTGACATGATTTCATTTGTTCACTGGAATTACACAGCAACCATCATCGCTGTCCATCTCTCATCCCCCGCGACAGCCCCCTCATCATAAATTCCATCTCCCATCTTCCACAAAACAAACAGGTGGACTCCACCTTCCGGGTGTCCCACACCGACCCCTGGATCCGGGGGGACCCCTACCACACCTCCCGCAGCATCACAGTGCAGAGCACCAAGGCCTCGGTGGCCGCCATCCACGGCAAGGCAGTCGGAGAGGACGTCGCCGGGCCCGGGCCGGGGTCTCCCCGCCCGCCGCAGCCGAGGCCCGGGGCGCAGGGCGCGAGGTGCGAGGCTGGGTTTGAAGTGGGGAGGGGGTATGGTGTTGGGGAGCTTGCAGGGGACACGCATGTTGGAATGGGCCGGGCTTGGAATCGCGCAGGGCACAGCGTACACGCGGCCCCAAGCGCAGGCTCGACGTGGCAGGCTGCACCGGCAGTATGCCCTCTGTCTGCCAGCCTTCCTCACCACCCTGGCGGCGGCGATGACTTTCATGCGTGCGTACTTCAGGGAACCCCCCCCACACACACACGCACACACCTCCCTACCCGCTCATCATCTCTTCCCCCCTGCCTGCAGCAGCCTCGCCGACGCCTCGGCCGGGTCCATCTTCGTGTCGAGGGTCGGCGGCAGCGTCGAGTGGAGCCGACCCCTGGGCATCGGCTGGCAGGGCGGCCTGGGCGCCAGCTGGCAGAGGGCCACCCCCAGGGACGAGCGCGCGAGGCCCCTGGACCAGGACTGCTATGGCGGCCAGCTCACCATCTCCGGGACGGGGCAGGACACGATGGCGCTGGGCATTCTGCGCCTGGCATACGCGTGAGGGGAGGGAGGAGGACTTTTGGGGGGGGGGAGACGCGTGCCAGGCTGGTCTTGGGTATCAGAGGAGGTGGAGGCCGGGGATTATTGGAGGGTCCTTGTGAATTGCCAAGCTCCATAGAATTGCCAGCAACTTCTGGGCGGCAGTCAGCTGCTGCATGGGGTTGTATGAAGCCTGCAGGGTGAGGGAATGGTGGTCACCTGGCCCCTCAGCAAGACCTTGCGGCTGGATGCCTTGAGGTCTCACCACCCAATCCCTCCCTCCTTCTTCACTGTCCCAGACCGCCCTCGGGCGGCGGGGAGATCCTGGCGTGCATGGAGCAGGCACTCCCTCTCCAGACCGACTGGCTCAATTTCAACCGATTCACGCTGCGGGCCGACAAGTCCCTCCCCTTGGGGCCCATGAAGTGAGATGAGGGATGAGAGAGCAGGGGGTGTGTCTGGGATGCTTGGTCTCGCTTGCAGGTACCAAAGGGCGAGGCTGGGGGGCCACTGGACCAATGATACTGCATGCCGCAAGGGGACAGTCCAGGCACGCGCTGCGCCTTCCTTTCCTGCCCGCACAGGCTCTGGTTCTCAGGAAAGGGCGGGCTTGTGGTGGGCGACCTCCCCCCCTACGAGGCCTTCCCCATTGGGGGAACAAACTCCGTCCGCGGCTATGTTGAAGGTGGGGAAGGATGGGGTTGGAAGGAGGACTGGCGAGGCTGGACGGCGCTGCAGCCCGCCAGGATTGCATGCTGACTGCGGGGCGGGCCGATTGGGTCGCTGTACATCTCATGAGAGGACTGTCGCCCATGCGCTGCGCTTCAACAAGTGGCCACCCACCCTCCTCCCCGCCGGCGCCCTTCTCCGACAGGCGGGGTGGGGTCCGGGAGGCGGTATGCCGTGGGCACTGCGGAGTTGCACGTCCCCCTGGTGGCGCCCATCGAGGGCGTCCTCTTCGCCGACTATGGCACAGGTGGGTGTGGGTACCACTGAGCTGCATGGCTGGGGGTGGGTGACGCCCGGTGGAAGGACCACCCCACAACCGGAGCGCCCCATGCGCCCCCGCCTGCATGGGTGCTCATCTGACTGGCATTCGAGCCACTGCACACCCCTCTCAGGGAAATGCATGGCCCCCAGGCCGGCTGCCTGAGTGGGTCCTTCCCCCCTCCGAAAGCCACACCCTCACCCCGCTATCTCTGCAGATCTCGACAGCGGGGCCCTCGTCCTCGGCGATCCCGCCGGGGCGCGGGGCAAGCCGGGGAACGGGCACGGGCTGGGCGTCGGGGTAAAACTGGACACGCCCATCGGGCCCCTACGCCTGGAGTACGCCTGGAATGACGCCGGCGTGCCGCGCTTCCACCTCGGCATCGGGGCTCGCGGCTGACCTGGCGCCGGCGCTGCACTCCCATCACCCCTCCCCCCCCTGCCTCCGCCACGCACCCTTCCCCCACCCCGCGCATCCCCCTGCTCTGGCAAGATCACTCTACGTCGTTAAGTCCGTGAATAGCAGGGAGGAGTGCGGGAAAAACGAAGGAATGGCACGGCATGTGACCTAGAGGAGCACGACAGGCCCGTTCAAGTGTGGCACCAGAGGAAGGGTTGGGGTGGGGCCGGGCGCAGGCAGGCAGGAAGGAGCCAGGGGCGCGGGCTGAAGGGTTGGCGCTCGCTCTACGCTGCAGTTGTTGGATGTCCATGGGAGGGTTGTACCGGGCCAGCCGTCCAGATTCAGCGCCGTAGTAGGTGAAGGGGGGGTGGTCAGCGCTGCAGGACGCCAGCCGCACGATCCCCCGCCCCCGAGCGCCAAGCAAGCGATGTGGTGGGGGGTAGCATGGGGGCCAAACGCCTGCCGCCCAGAGCTGGCGCCCCAGGCTGACAAGGCTGTTATCACAAGAAACAATGGGCGGATGTGGCCCCACCCAGGCAAAAGTGGGTATGGAGCAATGGGGTGGCGGGGAGTGGGGATGGCGTACAGACCTCAGCGTCATGCGGGGTGGGGTGGTAAGCGGTGGCACTGACACGGCATGTGCGGTGTGAGGAAGCTGGGCAGAGGCCCCTCGCCCATAGCGGAGAAGACAGAGTCCTGATGTTTGGCACAACAAGACGTTGGTGGGGTGATGATGAAGACCACGGTGCGTGCCGGGGGGTCAGCCTTGGATGACTGCCGACCCCCGTCTCTCACCGGGGTCCAAGTGTTCGAGGTGAGGGTGCCTAGCAAAGCAAAGGACAAGAAGGAAAGAACGCTGCTCCGATGGTGCAGGGGCACCAAAGCGACCACGCTGCTCACATGAATTCGAGGTAAAGAGAAGCAAAGTGGAGGTGCTGTGGTGTGGGTGTGGTTGTGGGAGGGTGTCCTACGGGGAACAGCCCCGTCCCGTGCGTGCTTGGGAATCAGGACACCCTGGCGTCTGGGGACTGGGTTTGGGGCATACGGCTCAGGCCCTCAGGGTCATGAACTCTGTCGACAGGGCCCTTTGCAAGACTAGCTTGGGGGTAGAAAGGGAAAATGGGGAGGCGGTGCTGGTGCTCAGTTGGGGCGAGGCGGGGGTGCTGGCGCCACGAAGGGTAGGAGGCGTCACCAGCTTGTTGTGTTGCGTGCCGCCCAGGCGGCCATTGGGGGTGGCAGGGGCCAGGTCAGCCTGGTTCCGGGCGAGGGGCGAAGGGGGCGTGGCTGCCGGTGCGGTCAGCTCACACAGCGCGAGGGAGAGGGGGAGGTGGCACCTGTGGAGGCTGAGCGCTCCCACACAGGTCAGGAAGGACTGCAGGTCCTTGCTGGCGGGAAACGCGAGGGCGAGGCTGGTGCCCCAGTGCACGACCCCCTGAGCCTCATCCACATCCAGCTCGAAGCTCAGGCCGCGGAAGGAGGAGAGCATGCTGCCGTCGGAGGTGGACAGGGTGAGGCGGAAGGGGGAGAGGCCGGCGCATCGTCGCTTGGCCTTGGGCGAGGGGGGCTCGTACCTGATGGGAGGCATGCGAGATATGTGAGCTCTCGGGGACGAACGTCGATGGGAGGAAGGGGTCGCCCTCCGGCCCGCGACATACCCGGCAATGCACCGTGATCCCGCACTCTCACCGGATGTAGAGCTCCGCGTCGCGGAGCAGGTCGTCGGCGAGGTCTGAGACGCCCGGCTCCTGGGCCGCGGCTCCTATCTGACCGTTCGCATCTCTATAGAGCTGCCCTCGACACAAAAACACGGAGCTGTAGCCACTCACAGCTCGGATCACGTTGTCAACGCGGAAGGCGATCGGAGTCTCTGGAAAAAGGGGGGCCGACGGAGAATCTGTTTGAACACCGAAAACGGCGGGCAAGGGGAGAACCTCGCCGTGGACCGGCGTTGATGGGGTCATTGCAGGTGACACCATCAGGAATGATGGTGAGGATTGGGGGAGCCCGAGGGCGGGTGTTCAGGTGAGCTGGGCGGGGAACGGGAGTGCCGGGCCCGACCAGGTCCGAGCCTTCCCGCCAACCTCCAGGAGAGGAGGTCGGGTACCTCCCCAACCCCTTCCGGCCACCGGATGGGGAATGCTGGCAAGCATCGTGCAGGACTCGACCACTTCCACTTGCCAATAAGACCATCGCATACCGGTCATGGAGAGCTCCTCCAGCATGGGATCGTCGATCGGCAGGCGACGCTTGTATCGCGGGGTCGAGCAGTCGTTGGTCAGTCGACTCGCGGGGGGGTAGCTGGCGAGCATAGCTGATGGCATCAGGGGTGGGGTAGGAGGCTCACGAGCAGTATGTCTGCGGGGCAGGTTGCTGGCTCCAACGCCTGGCAGGGTCTGCAAGCGGGAGAGAGTCTCAGTCGACCGACGGGCAGCGACGGACGGAGCTGGAGCAGTGCTTCTTCAAGGAAGTGAAGAGAATGGGAGGGGTACAGGGCGCCCGATCGCTTGGCAGAATGTCAGCACAGGAGTGAAATATGACCGCCGACTCGTGAAGGCTTGACCACAACTTCGACAATTTCAAATCCTGGCCCCTAGTTCGTCAAAATAATCGACCCTGGCGGTCAATTCTGACCGCAAATTTTCAGTTTCAACGCGGACGCCGGTCCCCTGACCGCATCTTCGTTCGACCCCGACCACCAAATCTGAAGTTCAAACCGGGCACGACGTCCACGGCCCCGTCTCCCTTGGCCCACGTTGACCACCTGCATCAGCACACCCGAATCTCCTCCATCGACCCCCACGAACCTGTGGTTCAAGTACATACAAGAAAGTGGATCCTGGGCATGTGACCCTTGGTGGGTTTTTCGGACACCAGCTTTGAACCAGTCTCGCCTTATCGAATCTGATCCAGCTCCCGTTGACCAGCTTCCCGGCTGCGAGGAGAGAGGTCCACGTCGATGGGCGACGGAGCTGGGCCCCTGTACCAGCGCCGACCTTTGACTCGGCTCCCCAATGCCGAACTTCCTGATCGACACTCAAACCGGGAGCCCCGAAAATCGCCTGCCGAAGCACTACCCGGATCTGCCCCTTCCCTGCCTCCACTATTTTTGGTGTTGTGACCCCATCCAGCGGCCTTGTCAATCGAGCGCCTTCACATCAGCCAGGTCTAGAGCATGAGATGTCCGGTGTCAGGGGCCACTGAGCCCCCTTCAGTCCCATCAGAGCTGGCCGGAGACACCACCGAGGCGGCATCCTCGCCGGCCGTCCCCTCGTCCAGCCCGGCAGAGGCCGCTGCCGGCTCGGCAGCCGACTCAGTCCTCCCCTCCTCATGCGCGCCGCCTGGGGTCTCACCGTCACCGACTTGCAGATCGCTGGGTCCAGGGTCCACGCCGACGTGGCCCCCGTCCCCCTCACGTGGCCAGGCATCCACAAGGGGTTCCCTCCCTCGCTCCCCTGCGGCCAGGGACAGGGCTGCGGCGACGGCCGCGGCCGCGAGGGTGGCCGCCAGCGCCCTGCACTGGCCCTCGCTGTCTTGGATCGGGCCCGCGCAGCCCGAAGCGCTGGACCCCGGGAGCAGCAGGGAGGCGCCGCGCGGCTCGGCCGCGAGCACCGCCTCGTCCCCCTCCGCCGGCGCGGCGTCCCCCCCCAGCCCCTCCTCCACCGGAACCCGCATGCGGATCCAGCGTCGCCGCCTGACGAAGTCAGAGTACTTCTTCTGCCCGCCGCCCTCGGGAAAGGGGAACACCAGCCACCCAAAGTCCAGGCCGTACGCCCAGCCGTCGGCATCCACCGCATCCACCAGCTGGCCGGAGAGGTCCAGGTGCCAGGTGGACTCCAGCCAGCGCCAGCCCTGGGCGGGTGTATTCAGGCGGGGTGCAGGATTCACAGGGAAGGGCGGGAGGAAGGCGGGGGAGCCTGGGGTTTGGCAGGGGCGGGTGGGCCAGGCCTCATGACCACGAGGCAGGGGCTGGCCGTGAGCGGATTGCGCAGAGGGAACACGCCCAGGGTTTGCGCCCCTGCTCTCCCCTGGTCCACAGACGATTGCCCTCCCCAGCCCCCTGTTCCCCACCCATCACTCCTGCGCACCCCCTCCCCGCACCTGCTGCACGCGCGGCACGACGCGCTTGAACTCCTGCGAGGCCACCAGGGGCCTTCCCCGGGACCTCGCGCAGCGACCAGCGATTCACACGGTCGGTAGGGAGGAAGTGGCCCGGCCACGTGTGGCCCCAGCCTCGGAAGGGCTGCACAGGAGGGGAGGGAGGGG